AGATATTTTATATGCTTCCGCTTTTTATGTAAACCCGTTCTTGTCACCACAAACGAATCACCGTTTGTAAGCGTCATCCGTAGCACCTCCGTACCGTTTGCGTAACACTTCCGTACCGTTTGCGTAGCACTTGCGTACCATTTCCGTACCGTTTGCGTAGCACTTGCGTACCATTTCCGTACCATTTGCGTAGCATTTCCGTACCGTTTGCGTAGCACTTCCGTACCGTTTGCGTCCAAGGTGGAACAGCGAACGTGTACGGGTCTGTAAATAGGAAAAGCATGGGATATTGGGTGAATTTTGTTTACAGTTTTAGTTCCAGGTATGGCACCAACACCTGTGAAAATTAGGTTCATACAAAGTAGAATATTAACACTTGTACATGTATCAACCTTAATTTAACAGGAATACATATGTAGTGTAACAAAATGGGCTGAAAATTAGGTCATTAATTATAGATTGGAATCATCTCATAGCATGTACAATAGTGGGTATCAATAGAGAGCATCACTTTGATCAAAAGTACATTTGAGCTCAAAGAATTTTGGCAACACCATGCAGTGACGGACAGGTAGGCTGTTGAATTGAAGATAATGATGCAGGGATATCCATATAGTGGCGACCAGGTCCGTCTTAGATGACATAGAGATAGGAACGAGAGTATGAACTCCCAAAACCAGACAGGGATAACTGTCATTGCCATATGGTACATATAAGTATTGTTGTTTTGGTAAGGGAACGTTAGATTAGAAGTTACATGTAGTTTAAATTGTCGCACGTGCCTAATTATATATGTACAATGGGTGGTACCGGATTCATGAATAGTCAATGTTGTATAGATGGTAAAAAGTACTTGGGGGAGATTTAAGAAGTAGTCTAGATTTAGGGAGACCAGAGTTAGGAGTCGGGAGTCCAGAATTGAGAGTCGGGATTCGAGGTTCGAGAATGTGAGCATCTGGAGAGAGAGAGATCAGGGCCAGGGGAAATCTCGGCCAGAGGGGCCTGCGATAGTCCGGGTACAGCACGTGGTGTGCTTTAGACTATCGCGGCCACAACGTGAAGTAAATAACCAGTCTAAGTCCACGTGTGTTGTCAGCGTGTTGTGTAACAGTAAGTACCTTACCTGGAATTCTAACTGTAGAACATAGACTTGGTGCTGAAATTTCGTACAGCTGTTTGTTTAGTATGACTCGTGTTGTTGTTCTAGGTCGAACTTTGGATGAACTGTATAAAAATGGACGTCTTTTTAGTAAATGAAATGTTTTCGTTTTTATGCTGACTTTGCTGCAAAAATATCAATTTAGTTTGGTTCGATAAAATTGATTAAACTTCTAGCCCATTTTGAGTTTAATCTTGAAACATATTTCTATAACGTGTGTCCCCTTGAGATTTCAATTTTGCTCTATTAAACGATTTTAAGAACTTTTCGATCTTAAAACGTAATCGATATTCAGAGGTTTATTATGTCCGTTTTCATATCAAACTCTTACAAGGGGAGATAACTCATTGGCCCAAAACAGCCAACAACTACATCTTTGTATGTTAATAATACACTGTAACGTCACTACTTAATATGTTAAATGCACAATAAATAATCTAAGCTAACTTGCAGTGTGGTTGAATATAAACATCGAACTTTAGTGACAGACTCTCTCCTTGTTTGTAGCAAATTGCATGAGCAGTATATTTGTATATGCATGTGTATTTCGATGATGAGCTTATGTAAAGGGTTGGGACGGCCGTGGCGGAGCGATTAAGGCGTCTGACCATTTACCCCCACAAGCCCTCCACCACTGCGTCGCGGGTTCGAGACCAATGTGGGGTTGTCGCCAGGTACTGACCTCAGGTCGCTTGTTTTCCTCCAGGTGCTCCGGATTTTTTCCACCAACAAAACATGGCATGTCCGTGTTAGGACGGAAACAAACCAAATGTAAATTCCTAAAATTATTTATGGTAAACAAAGATGATGCTGATATTGGGTTCTCGCACTGTTCGCTACTAAATGATTCTACTGCCAATGGGATACAGAAATTATCTCCCTTCTTTGATCAGAAAAAGTGTACATTGATATGATATTAATGTTTTCTTTCTATATGAACATATTTTCACCGTATGATAATGTATAATATATTCGTACTTTCAAAACAGAATGTTTCCTTTGTAAAACAAAAATTAAGAAAAATATAAGTGCAAATATCAGGAGTTTAATGACAGTTTCAACTGTTGAAGTGGAAATGAATTT